TAAAAAAAAAAAAAAAAAAAGCTCTTAACAAGTTATCCCAGCTGAGAAAAGTCCAAAAAAAAAATCCATTTCCATCCACCTGAGCAGGAGTCAGGATGTGACCCCCCCCCCCATCCCCACTGGGAAGGGGACAGAGATGAAGGGTCCCAAGGGCACAGGTGCCTTGGGTTGCCCTGGGACTGGGGTCCCAGTGGGACAAGGGGTGGGCCAGACATGGACATGCATGGTTAAAATCATTCCAAAGGAGCTGTGTGACTGTAGGAGGAGTTGGGAGCAGCAGGGACAAGGACACGTGGGGCTGGAGAAGAGCTGGGGTTTGGCCAGAGGTGCTGGACCCAGGGCCAAGGGGAAGGGTGAGGGATGAGACCACTTCTTAGTGGTCAAGGAACACCATGGAGGGAGAGATGGAGCAAAACCTGCCCCTGCCAGGCCCCATCCTGCCCCCCAGGATGGGGAACACACTGGGAGGTTTGGCAGAAGGTGCTGAGATGTAGGACACCCATCCCCCCCCACATCAGGTGGCAGAGGGGCATGGAGGGTTGTGTGTGTGTCCCCCCCACCCAAGGAGGGTGGCTCTGGGGTGCAGGGAAGGCACGTGAGGATCAGCTGAACCCCTGTCTGGTGGCACCAGGTGCTGATGGTTTCCCTGGGGTCAGGAGCTCCACTCTGCCCCACGGTGAGCAGATCTCCAGGCTGTGGTCCCATTCCACATCCCCCACCACCCCAAATTATCCCCCCCCAGCTCTGAAGGACACCATGGAATAGGGACAACTAGAAGTCCAAAAGGAACCTGGCTGAAAACACTGAAAATCAAGGGCAGGAGGGAGCAGCCCCAGGACTTTGGAGTGGAACTCTGTGGGCAGAGGACAGGGGGGCTGCCAGCAGGCAGGGGACAGCCCTGCTGTGACCCTGCAGCATGGCCCCCCAGCCCCGTGGGGCTGGTTTAGTGTTTGGTGGGTGCTGTAGTGTTGCTGTGCCACCAGATCCCTCCCTTGAGCCCCCCCAGGAGCAGAACCTGCTTTGGTGTTGGGCATCCATGGGGAGAAGGGTAGTGTTGGATGGGGTGGGGTGTGGGGGCAAAGGGCTGGCTCCTCGGTGGGGTTGGGGGCTGCTTTGCCCTCCCTAGGTGAGGGAGACATCCTGGCTTTCCCACCTGGCTCATCCAGATGCTTGACCCAAAGGAAAGACAAAAAAAACTGGCAGAGGGAAGAGGCCGGGGAGGACCGAGGGGGGTGGGCAAAGTACCGAAGTTCAAGCACCAGAAGGACAAAACGAAACAAAAAAACCCCACCAAAAAAAACCCAAAAACATAAAAATCAAATAACCAAATTCACAGGAGGCGGAAGGGGGAGGTGTTTGTGTAAGGGGAGGGGCCGTCAGACCCTTCTGGCTTGTTCCCTGGTGGCAATCTGGCCCCGAGGTGACACAGAGAGAGGACACACGGCCCCGCTGTCAGGAGAGACCTGGCTTCGGGATGGAGATGGAATGGAAGGCTCTGCCCGGCGCGGGGGGGGACACGAGGGGGCGATGGCGTCTCACTGAGGTAGCGGAACCAGCACTTCCACGTAGTTGAGGGGGAAGAAGCCCGACTGGCCGTTGATCATGCCCTCGTACCAGTTCTCGTCGATCTGGTTGGTCAGGGTGATGATGTCTCCTTCCTTGAAGCCCAACTCGCCGTCGTTCTCGGGTTCAAAGTCGTAGAGAGCTTTGCAGCACGGCTGGTCCAGGGGGGCTGTGGGGAAGAGGTGTAGGGGGGGACAGGAGGTGAGTGGGACCCCCCCCCAGCACAGCCCCTGCCCTGAATCCCCAGCTCTGCCCACGCTGGGATGTCCTGCTGCTGGTGGGGGTTGGATTCAGGCCCCACGCAGGACTTGGGGGCTCAGCCAGGGCTAGGGATTGTAACAGGGGTTGGAACAGCCTGTCCAGGAGCAGCTGGACCTTCATTGTCTCCATCATGGTGAAGAATTAACTCCTTTTGATGAGGGCTTTCTCTAAGGGCATGGAGGGAGAGGACAAGGAGGGATGGATTTAAATTGGCAGAGGGAGATTGAGGTGAGACATGAGGAGGGAATTGTGGAGTGTGAGGGTGGTGAGAGCCTGGCCCAGGTTGCCCAGGGAAGCTGTGGCTGCCCCATCCCTGGCAGTGTTGAAGGGCAGGTTGGATGGGGCTTGGAGCAACCTGGGCTGGTGGGAGGTGTCCCTGCCCGTGCAGGGGGTTGGATCTAGATGATCTTGAAGGTCCCTTCCCACCCAAACCATTCCATGATTCTGATTTAAATTCCTCACTGGCTTTTAGCTCACTGGTTCCTCTTGCTCCTTCATGACCTTCTCCCAGCACAGACTCCCACCTCCAGCACCTCTGTACTGCTTGTCACTGCCTGGACCTCCCCTGCTCCAAACTAAACTCCAACCTAAATGTGACCACCACACTGGAAACCAGGTGGGGAAAAGCCACATTATTCCTCCAGAGACAAGAGAAGCTGCTGTGCAGCTCGTGGAGGATAGGGTTAGACACTGGCATCTGATGGAGAAGGACCCTGAGGGTCCCTTTAGAGAAGTCACCCCAATTCTGAGGGTGAGGGGAGGGAGAGGGCTGTGACTGCATCCCTGGCCAGAGAGCTTTAAATCCATGAGCAGCTTGGTGATGCATGTGAGGCTGCCCCCCCCAAAATGGGGAGAAAAGCCAAGTCTTTCTGCAACATCTTCAGCTCTTTGGACTTCAGACACAGGGTGTTTTTGTGGCAGGGAAAGCTGCTCCCTGCAAGTTTTGGGATGGGGAGGCACTCACCTGTGAGCTGTAGGGATGCAACTGGAAAGGGACTGAGTGAATCAAGCCCACCCAGGTCTGCAGGGCCCCTCCCTTAACCCCCAAGCTCTTCCAAGCAGGGCAGGAATATCAACCAGCACCTCTGGTCTGCTCAACTTCTCCAGCAAGAAAAGAACCCAGCAGCGAACTTGGAAAACACCGAAAGAGGCAGCCAAGCAGGTTTGTGGGCTTGAGAGAACTCCCCAAAACACCAGGCTGGTCCCATCACCCCCAGCACTGCCCCTGCACCAGGCTCCTCAAGTCCTCTTGCTCCCTTGCTGCATCACCGCCAGCTTCACCTATGATGACTCTGAACCATGGACCCCCCATCGGGTCCCTCGGGGGTCCAGAGGCTGGGCTGGCTCCCCTCTGGATCCCATCCCCAGGAACTGACCTGCAGACCCATTTGAGGCTCCTCACTGCCCAGCTGGGACCACAGGTCCCACACCCATGGTGTGGCTGAACAAAAAAACCTCAACTCAGAGGTGATCAATCCCCAAATTTGGGCTTAACTGGAGTGTTTGGTTTTTTTTTAACTGGGTTGTCCTGTTGGCCAAGCTCAGCACGGAGGTGTTTAGTGGCTCCAAAGCAGCAGCAGCATGAGGGAAGGAGGAGTGAGGTGGGATGAGGAAGAAGAGATGGGTCACACATCATGCAGTGCCAAGGGAGGACACTCACGGATACTCCTGACGGAGGATCGGGACGGCTTGTCGGATCGGAAAGAGGAGGAAGCTGCTTCCAAACAAAAAGAAACGTGCTTAAAACCATGGGAACTGGGGAGAGGGGAAGGCAGGACCCAACGGGAGGTGCTGGGAGGAGAAAGGAGGTGGCCAACATGCTGTGTTAGAACCCCCTTTGTGGGGACCAAAGAGGGGGGGGGGGATAAATGCAGCGGGATGGAAAACGGGGAGGGAACCAGAGATGCTTCACTTGTCCTGTCTCCAGAGTGGGCATGAGTGGCTGGAGATCCCACTGGGACATCCCCAAAACCAATATAACCAAGGTTGCTGGACCCCAAGAGAAATCAATCCCAGTCTTGAAGCATTTGGGACATTTTTCAGAGCCACCAAGCACCACAACCACTATTTTGGTTCCCTTCCATCCCCAGGAGGCTGCTCCACAGGCACCTGCGTGGACAGACACACAGAGAGGACAACTTTACCTGAGCTTTTGGGGGTGGGAGTGCAGGAGAAGCCCCCATTAGATTGGTCAGTGTCTGCAAAGTCATATGTCTCCCTGGGTTTGGGCTTGTATTCCCTCCTGGGGCGCGAGGAGGCCTCCCTCATCCTGCAGGAGGGAAGAGAAAGGTGGATAAACTGAAGGAGGAAACAGGAGTAGAAGGAGATCAACGTGGTATTTATACTCCTTCGTGGCTACACAGGGGAGCAGATTGGTTTGTAGACAAGAATCATAGAACACCAGACTGGTTTGGGTGGGAAGGGACCTAAAGATCATCCAGTCCCAACCCCCTGCATGGGCAGGGACACCTCCCACCAGCCCAGGTTGCTCCAAGCCCCATCCAACCTGCCCTTCAACACTGCCAGGGATGGGGCAGCCA